GCTATATATTTGATATTTATAGCTAGAGAACCAAAACTATGTCAAAAGCTCCACAAAAAGGAGAAGCAGGCACTTGTAACTAAAAGCCTAAAAAGAAAGGAAAACAGTTCCAACAAAACTTATACAACTGATTACATAAGAATTATAGTCCAAAATAGCATAATCAGATGCATTAACCAACTGCTGAAATAATAGAAATCGAAGACCCCACAAGCAGCGAAAGTAGCAAAAGCCAGGACTCAGTGACGATCAAGCCAAATAGAATCATACTAAGAAGACAATTAGAATCCTTGGTTGTCAGGTGGCAATCCAAGGGGATGCCTGAGTAAGGGAACACATCATTGTCCTAGGATGAAAATTTCCCAACAGCTAAAAAATGGGCACAATGTAATCATAATAAATATCAGGAGCTAACCAGAAATCATATGGCCTTAAAGAATAGCCGTTAGTCGTTGAGATTTTTTTTTCATTTGCATATTTTCTTAAAACAACTTTTTTAACAGATATTGCAATGATAGATATGCTGCTCAAAGTTTTCCCGAATCTTTTTTCATTTCTTTCCTTCCATATATAATATATAGTGCTACTAGTTAGTGATGAGAAAATAGAGATTCTTAATAGTAGGATCTTGATCATTTATCCATTACAGCAGATGCAATATCGTGGGTTGAAAAAGAAGAGCATAAGAACCCGACAGAAATGAATAATCGCGGTGTCTCCAAAAAGGCAAACCCAAACCACCATAAGTTTTCGATTTACAAACATTGTCCCATGATACCATACGCATCTTTCTAACAGTCGAGGAGTCTCCAAAAAACAGAAAGCTGGATGAAGTCTTCCTTATAAATTTAATAACAATTTTAGGTAAAATCGACCCTCTAATCCAATAGGCAATTGAGTTCAGGATAGTGAATTTAAGGTATTGCAATCGACCTGCAAACGAAAGAAGATTTTTCTTCCAATCATATTTTTTTTTCTATATACTTTCCATTAGTGACAAAAAATCAGCAACAAAGATTCTCTTAAAAGAGAGGTGATACCAAATAAAAGATGTTGTTGCTGATATTTGGAATGGAAAGAGCCGTGCAAATAATTTAAATAGCTTTATTAATTATTAAGGTGTACTCTATATATAATTTATGATTTATATGCGGGCAACAATAAGTATATTTGTCAAGTATTCGAATCAAACACCAATGAATAAAAAACATATTACTTTTTGACAAGCTCTGAATTCGGTCCTAATAACATATTTTATTCGACAACTGAGACCCACCGACAAATCCATCCCTTCGATGCCAACCTGGACCTAACCAGCATCCAAAGTGACAAAATAGTATTGTCGATTAGCTTACTTTAGCTAACACCAAACAGCCTAACTTCCCAATTGACAGTCCCCACGCTGGTTCAAAAAGAAAGAGAGTATCTCTACATGCAATCATTAAATTGTGGTAGAATCCTATGCAGCAATAGTAACGCGGAAGAAAGTTACGATAGATCTCACTGTAATAGTCGTAAAATATCAATCTGAATGTTGATTTAACGGTCGTAAACACGTTCTATTGTTTTAGTGAAAAGAGGTCTATTTATTGGATTTCGTAGTATTAATTCTTGTAATAAAAGAAAATATTGAGGGAGAGCAAGAAGATGAAAAACCAGAGAATTAGGGTTTCCTCCTTCCATTCGTCTCCTCGTCCCTCTCCAATGGGGGAAATACAAAAGGAAAGAATAAATTAATCGTATACTTCCCACTCTGGAACCCTATTTTCCCCTAAATTTATCGTTTTTTAGCCTGAAAAACAAGCGGCCACCATTTTATCTGGTGTAATGGCTGCAGAAACGGAGAAAAGAAGGTACATTTCGTCGGAGGAGCTCGGGAAACACAGCTCCCCTTCGGATCTATGGATCTCAATTCAGGGTAAGGTTTACAACGTCACCGATTGGGTAAATAGCCATCCAGGAGGCGAAATCCCTCTCCTCAACCTCGCTGGCCAGGACGCCACTGATGCGTACGTTGCATTCCATCCAGCTTCTGCTTGGAAGCATCTCGATCGCTTCTTCGTCGGCTATTACCTCGCCGACTACAACGTCTCCGACGTTTCCAAAGATTACCGCCGCCTCGTCGCAGAGTTCACTAAGCTTGGCCTTTACGAAGAGAAGGGCCATGGAGTCCTTTTCTTAATGTCGTTCATGTCTCTTTTATACCTTGTTGCGGTGTACCTGGTTATTGGAACCAAAAACCCTTGGGCACATCTGGCGGCCGGCGGGATGATGGGTATGCTCTGGATCCAATCCGGATGGATCGGCCATGATTCCAGTCATTATAATGTCATGATCAGTCCAAGATTCAATCGACTTGCTCAGATTTTGTCCGGTAATTGCCTCACAGGGATAAGCATTGGATGGTGGAAAAGAACTCATAATGCTCACCACATAGCCTGTAATTGTCTCAACTATGATCCTGATCTCCAACACATGCCGCTCTTCGCCGTCTCATCAAAGCTCTTCAATTCCATTACCTCGTACTTCTACGAGAGAACCATGACCTTTGATTCGATCTCAAGGTTCTTGATCAGTTACCAGCATTTAACATTCTATCCAGTAATGTGTTTTGCCAGGATAAATCTCTTTTCCCAGTCTATAATCCTCCTTCTATCCAAGAAGAAGAAGGTTCCTTCCCGCTGGCAGGAGATTGTTGGTATAATTGTGTTTTGGACATGGTACCCTTATCTGGTTTCTTTCCTTCCAAATTGGGGAGAAAGACTGACTTTTGTGATTGCCAGCTTTGTAATAACTGGGATTCAACATGTTCAGTTCTGTCTAAACCATTTCTCTTCCTCTGTTTATGTTGGAAATCCAAAGGGGAATGACTGGTTTGAGAAGCAAACAATGGGAACTCTTAACATCACTTGCTCGCCATGGATGGACTGGTTTCATGGCGGGTTACAGTTCCAGGCAGAACACCATTTGTTTCCTCGTCTTCCAAGGTGCCATCTTAGGAGAATTGCTCCTGTGGTGAAGGAGCTCTGTAAGAAGCACAAGTTACAGTACTCAAGTGTCAGCTTCTGGGATGCAAATATAATGACTTTGAGAACTCTGAGAACTGCTGCTTTGCAAGCTCGTGATTTAGATTGTCCAGTTCCAAAGAATTTGGTCTGGGAGGCGTTGAATACCCATGGCTGAGAGCTTCTTGTTGATTCTGGTATGTTTCTGTATGTTTACTATCTTTATTTGATTTTATTTAGTGGTATAGGGAATAAGTTTTTGGCCTCATAAAGAACTGATGGTTGTGGTGTTCTTTCCATTGGTTTGATCCGGTTGAAATTCTATTAGTTCTGTTGTTGTTTATGCATTCAAGTGGCTCGCCTGAATAGTATTATGGAGGGAGAGTCTCTTTGTTATTATGAATTTGTAATTTAATCCTTGTATTGGATAGCTAAAGTTTGCTCATGTGAGATCTACTATCTGCCACAATTTCTAATAGGGATTTTTTTAATCCAAGTAGGACTTAGTCTTGTTATACTAAATCCTGGAGGCAATAAATTCTAAAAATTGCTGGCCATCATAGAAATAAAATCTGATTAAACCCTAATAAAATGTTTAGGAGATATTTCTAAGAGTTGGGATTTAGATAAGGGCATCTCCAATCAAATGTCATCCGCCCGTTTGCAACTCTCACGAGCATCCATCCAAACAATAAATGGAAATGCATTTTTATGTTTTATCTCGACTGAACGTTAACCGAATGTCATTCGGTTGCAGATAAATTATTGATTGGATAGTTAAACAGTAAGAAAGTAGTATCCAAATAAAATTATTGGTGCTGTATAAAAAGTAATGCAACTAAAATGCTATCCCAAACAAAATCTAAATTTTACTGGAAAGGTTTTTTGGAAATGTAAGTTCTATTGTTTAGGTTCAATCTCATTTTGTCCCATTTTCAGAACTTGGTGAGTCTTGGTTGGATCTATTTTAAAAGGCTTGTGAGGGGAGAAAGTCCTCTCCTCCTCTTTCGGTGGTGACCATTTTCACTTGAGGTTTTGGCCATTCGCCACCATTATTTCTCCAGCACGCGTGCCTGTAGCTGTCGAGCAGCTGTGGTTTTAGTCTCTTATTGGAAATTTTCTATTGGTGATTGTTTTGATTTGTCTCTAACGTTGTGCAATATGTGAAATTTCTTTCAAATGTCAAAAAATAACATAAAAATTTTATATAGATTCACTTAATTGTTGACTATTTATTATTATAATTGTTCTTTATTTTGAAATAGGCGAAACATATACAAACATACAGCTAAAAATAAAAACAATATTAAAAAAAGAAGATTAGAACAGAAGAATGTAAATTTTACTTTTGACTGTAGTGAATTATAACTCTAGATTTTTAGATTGCATGCATTAGGCAACGCCCCCTTCTTATAAACAAAAAGTTTTGTTGTACAAAAAAAAAATTAAAAGAAATTTTAAATTTTTCTTAATTAAATAATTATAAATATTGGATATTTTTTGAGAATCAGAGCTATGATTAGAATTCCCTGCTTCCCCTTTATCTTATGTGAAATTATTATAATGGAGTTAGACCAATGATTAAACTAATCGGAATATATTTTTTTTTTATTGTGAAACATCTAAACTCCGCAACATGCTCTTTAAATAATCAATACACTTTTGATTCCTCATTTTCTTAGGCTTTGTTTGAAATAGTTTTTTTTTTAAAACAAAAAAATTTAATTGAACAACTTTAAGTTGTTCTAGAAGGCAGCTAAAAAATTGTCCAAAATGTAGCCTGTAGCAACCGATTAATTGGATTGCGCAATAAAATTTTTGAAGATGTTGCAGAAATTATTGTAGTGTGGTATGTAGCAAGTGAATTATTGCAGAAATTACTGCAGCACCGCATTGTAGCTTTATTGTAGTAACAGAAAAAAATAAAAAAATTGTTCCAGCAGTTTCAATCTAACGCTTTTGGGTCTTTAGAATTGTTTTTTCAACGTTTCAAAATTAATTTTGACACTTTCAGAATTGGGACCTCTACACCTAAGATCAGATTGTTTTAGAGTTTCAAATAATGAAAAAAATTCACAAATTTTTATGACATATATTTTCGGACTTTCCAAACTTCGACGTCTGAAAATAGGGAGACAACTGATAAATCATTAAAAAATTTTCTAGATCAGATGTGAATCTTAAGAAAAAATCAAGTTAGAAACTCTCAAATTTAAATTTGGGACTATCTGAACTCCGATTTCAATAAACTTCAAATTGAACGTCTCAGAATTACAAACCCAACGACATCAAATTCGACTCAATCCGAGCTTAAATGGGTCCAAATCGAATTCCTAAAGCGCATTTGGAAGGTTCAAACCATAATTTGGATTACCAAACAGTTTCCAAAAGTGACATGCTTATAAGTTAAATTGAGCGGCTTGACGAGAAAAATCCAATGAGCCCAAGATCACCAAACTATGATATCATTAAGATAATCAAATGACTTGTAACCGGTCCACGATCAAGGAGATCAATATCGACCGTTTATTCAAATCACTCCCAACTTACCCTTGATCTCCCTCCTTTTTACTAGTCATGTCACTATCAAAAAATTATAAATAGACCCCTCATTTTTCATATAAAAATGGACCGAGGCAAGAGAGTAGAGAAAAATAAATCAGATATTTCTCTTGCCACCTAGCTCCTCAACCACCAACCGTCATTGGACTGACACTAGACTTCCACCCGGCCACCAACTGACTTCAAACTTTCGTCTGGTTATTGACTGATGTCGAACTTCTGCACAACCATCGACTAATGCCGGACTTCGACCCGGACACCAGCTCACAACGAACTTTCACTGGCCATCGATTGACGCTAATCTTTTGCTCGGGCACCAACTAACGTCAAACTTTTGGTCGATTACTAACTAACATCGGACTTCTATCTAGTTTTCAATTATTATTGGACTTCCACCCGACAACAGCCTTTCTGACCTCCATCCACTGTCGACTACGATCCTTCCAACCTCCATCACAAGACTAAGGTCCTTCAGATCTCCGTTGCCAGACAACGATCTTTACAACCTTCGCCATCTAATGTTTACGGTCCTTCTAGCCTACGTCGCATGCAGCAGTCTTTCTGACCACCATCGCCAGCTGATTACGATCTTTTTGACCTCCATCGCCTGACAACGATATTTCTGAACTATCGAATGCTGATTATGGTTTTTCTGACCTCCATCGCCTAACAACAATCTTTCTAACCTCCGTCGACTGTCGATTATCGTCCTTCCAACCACCGTCAATCGAATACGATCTTTATGACCTCCGTCGCCCTATAATTATGGTCATGTCGACCAAACAAAAATATCAATATTGATTCTTCTTGTTTCCACAATGTAATGTATTCTATATGATGCATATTTGTTACATCAAGCCAAGACTTTCTCTCCAATAAAGAGCTTCATTTGTAATCAAATGCAAATACTAGTGGATTCATTCAAAGAGGGCTAGGCGTCGTGGTTATTCTCATTTTTAGGATTTTTCACATAAAAATTTGGTGTCTCTTATGAATACTGCTCCCTCTCTTTTTATCTTGTTGTGTGTTGGATCTTCGTACAAAGCTAAGACATTAAACTTCAGTTAACGTCTTGATATCAACTATTATTGCATCTTTCCAACACTTATAACATCTTAGACGATATCTTGAAAAATTATTTTTATAAAACTTTTAGCAAATGCAAGGATGCTTTCAATAAATCATAAGCTTTATATGGTCCCTAACTTGACTTCTACTTCTTGGGCAATATCTTAATCTCGATCTCAAAAAAGCATTAATGATCTAAAATAGTCCATTCTCACATTTGATTCGGGATACATGCAGCATTTTCCCCCTCCCAATCAAGTATGATCAATCCCAGGGGATTCGATTCGACATCTTTCATAAATGTTAACATCATCGAGCAGCGCTTTGACATACAATCTCGAATATGTCAAATATCCTAGGAGAATACTATTCAATTCATAAAAATTTTTATTCGAGAAAAACATAATCTTTATTCTGTCTCAATCATTAGATGATTAATCCCAAGGGTATTCAATCTAACCTTTCTGATATAGGTTAATGTCATTGAGCAACGCTCCGATAAATAACCTTGAACATGTCATACATCCTTTGTGGATTCTTTCGGCCTCTTTCACAGGTTAACATTATCAAGCAGCGCTCTGATAAACAACCTTTAATAGGTCAAACATCTTATGAGGATGTCAATCAAATCAGAAAATATTTTATTCAAAAAATACACAATCTTTATTGTGTCTCAATCACTGGATGATCAATCACAGGGGGTTTCGGTTTGACCTCTTTTATATAGGTTAATGTTATCGAGCAAAGCTCTGACATAAAACCTCAGATATGTCAAACATCTTAAGAGGATATCAATCAAATCATAAAATTTTTTATTTAAAAAATACACAATTTTTATTGTCTCTCAATTACTAGATGATCGATCATAGGGGGATTCGATCCGACCTCTTCCATATAAGTTAACATCATCGAGCAACACTCAGACATACAACCTTTGATAGGTTAAACATCATAGGAGGATGCCTATCAAATCATAAAATACTTGATTTGAGAAATACACAATCTTTATTTTGTCTCAATCACTAGATAATCAATCCCAGGGGGATTCGATTCGACTTCTTTCATATAGGTTAACGTCATCGAGCAATATTATGATGAACAATCTTAGATAGATCATACATCCTTAATGGATTCTCTCGACATCTTTCACATATGTTAAATATCATCGACTAACTCTTTGACAAACAACCTTGAATAGGTCATACATCTTTGACTGATTCTCTCGACCTCCTCCACACAGGTTAACGTCATCGAACAATGTTCTAACAAACAATCTTGGATAGGTCAAATATCCTTTATGAATTTCTTTCAACTTATTAACATTATTGAACAATATTCTGACAAATAATTCCAAAAAGGCTCTCCTTTGAGGTAGCTTCAAAGGAAAGTTAGCAGTGGACATGATTCACACTAGAAAAACTTCATGATAGCAAGTGATTAACAGGGTCATCATATATTCAAAGTCATTAGCAAGATAAAAAGTCTCAAAAGGTATAAGTATACAATGATCTTAGTAGACTATAAAGCCTCAAAAAGCACATTGAGTGATATATCAAAACATATCTCAAATATGTATAAATGACTTTGTTTCCTCTAGATGACAAGTTTATTTCAAATGAAAAGCAAGCATCAAGCTTATACAAATTCAAATACCTTGTCATTGGATTCACATAACAAAATTCTATAGCAATGTATATTTATTCTTATTGGAAGTTGAAATTAAAAGTATATCGACATCATTCATACAAGTTAATGTCATCAAGTAACAATCAACTCAAAAAGGTCAAATTTCTTTGGTGAATTATATTGACCTCTTTTATATTGCACATTAATACATTTTTTATAACTATTTAAAAAAAGGTTATA